GCGGGTGCTGATTGACCGGGCGCGCGGTCAGGTGACCCAGGGCGCCACGTTCCCAGAGCGAAGCCGGCGGTGGCTGCCTCGGCCAGGCCTGGGCCGAACCCGGAACCGAGAGGTTGGGCTCTGCGAACAAAGTTGCTAGGCCAGGCGGGAGAGCTGAGGGGAGCGGGCGCGCTGGCGCGGCGCTGGCCTGCTGCCCTGCCCTGCTCGGCCTTGCCGGGCGAGCTACCCTCGGGGCGCCCGGACTCCAGGCTCCCTTCCCAGGGGAGTGGCGGCGCGCGCCCGGCCGGTCCCGCGCCTCCCAGCCCCTCCACAACCTCCAACTCTCCTCTCCAACAAAGGGGCAGGCCCGGGGCGGGGAGGAGGAGGAGGTGGAGCCGCCGGCGGAGGCCAGCCGCTGTCGCGCACAAAGTTGTGGAGTCGCCTTTCCCCGGAGGAGGGGCCGTGCCGCCCAGCCGGCCGCGGGCTTTCTCTTGCGGAGGGGCGAGGAGGAGCCACCGGCCACAGAAGCCGATTGGGGAATGACGGGAGCGGTTTCCCCCTTCTTCTGGGTCATTTCTGCAGACAGAAAACTCTCTGGCGCTTGGCAAACTTGGTGCCTGCCTGCGCGCCTGCTCCAGGTTTGGACTTGGACTTTTTTTTTGGCGGAACTACGGGGCAGGAAGATTGCACAAGTCCGGGCGTTTTTCAATAGTGTGTAAAAAAAAAAAAAAAAAAAAGCAACACTTTTGTTTTGTCTTTCGGATCTTGCCCGGTTATCCACATTTCATTAATAAGGAAACTGCTCCCCTAAGCTCTCCACTCCCGCCACTCGAGCCTCCTGCCACTCCAACACATCCAGAGGCGCCGTGTCCGCCGGGACGCCGCGGCGGCGAGTAGCGAGGCGGCCCTGGGCTCCCGGAGCAGGTAAGCCCATGCATAATTAAAGCCTCGGGCTGGTAATGTGACCACAGTCCCGAGAGGCCGGGACCGGGAGGAGGATGGAGTTGTCCGTAGCTCCTGCGCGAGGATCAGCCTCCCGAGCTGCTTTCAAGTCTTCAGACTAAAACGTAACCAACTTTTGCGTGCGCTCTTCTTGGGACTGCATTTCAGGTCCCCGCCCCGGAGGGCGAGAGAAGGCCAGAAACGCGGAGAGAGTTGGGGAGAGAAGGTCCTCGGGCTCCGAACTAGTTGCGAACGCCCCGAACTCCTCCTCCCGTGCTGCAGAGTTGCCTCTCCCCTCCTGGCGAGAGGGGCTGGTGTCGGTGAAGCGCGCGGAGCGGGGCGCCCGGCCAGTGATCGCCCAGAGGGAACGTGGCCTCCTAACACAGCTTGTCACGCAGCTCCCAGCGGGGGAAGGCCGGGCTCCGGGGGCCTCTGCGAGGAGAGGGTGGAGAGGAGGTGGGCTGTGTGGTCGGCGGGCTGGGGAGGGCTCCCGACCGGCCTTCTGGCAGGAAACGTGCCTGACCTCCCGGCCGTTGCTGCGCCCGAGGGTGGGTGGGGCTCTGCAGAGTGTGGCGCGGCCACTAGCGCCCTGCCAGCGGCACCGACGAGGCAGAGGGAACTGGGGGGCGGGGGGCGCCCCATCGGAGCGCAGTCCCGCGCGGTTGCCTAGTCTCTTTTTTGGACGCTTGGCTGCAACTGACAAGGTATCTCGTGGTTTTCCGTGGCCCGGGGTCCGGGGCTCGGGTTGCCCTGGGCTACTTAACAGAGCCCACAAAGCGTCAGTTTCAGACTGGAACTTTTACAAGCGACAGTGGAAAGTGAGTTTGTTTTTTTCAAGCCCAGATTACGAAAGAGACTTATTCCAGAGTTGTCTCAAGGGGAGGGGAAAAGCGCCCGACTTCCGAGCGCTGGGGGACCCGCACTTTGCTTTACATCCAAGTGCAGGGCCGGTAGTCTAACTCCACGGCCCCGCTTTCTGGGGATGTCCCGGGGAGGGCCTCTCCAGCTTCCAGGTGGGGCGGAGGAGAGCTTGGCGGCGTCACCTGAGCCTACAGGGCCTCACCGGTCCATTCCGTCCGCTGCGGGGCGGTGGTGGGGGGCCAGTGCCTCGGACGACGCGGTCCGAGAGCACAGAGCCCGGAGAGAGCACCGTGGGCACCCAGGTTCCCGGGTCCGGGCTGGCTGCCCCCCGCATCCGCCCTCTTGTAACTTGTACCAGTCTGCGGACGCCGAGCACCCCCTCCCCCAAGCAGGTGCTGGTGGGCGCGAGGAGCGCAGCGGCGGAAGCCCTGCGGGGCGAGCGGGAACCAGGAATGCGAAGCCTGTGGGCGCTTCGGCCTCCAGTGTACCCGGCGGGGGAGGCCGGGCTTTACTTGGAGCAAGTCCCCGCCCTCTTTGCCAGCATCTGTGGGACTGATGAGACAGCTCGTGAACGCTCCTCCGGGTGTTTATCTAAAATTTATCACCCTGTAAACCGTATTAATCACAGTA